GAAGGCAGAATTGGTTAGTTGTTGTCTTTCGTTCTCAAAGAGGACCAAAATGAGATCCCTATGTTAGAGTCAAGTCTGACTGTGGCTGATCAGACCAATATGAGCTGAGAATGCTCTACCACAGATCAGGCACAAATAGTCCATGTGAACATGTGGAGTGGATTCTCTAAATTTGCACATCTCTCTTCTTTTAAGCTATTTCAATTTTGCTTTGCTCATAGAGCACAGCACCTTCTCTGATGAGAGCATGCCATGCTGAGCAGTCTTGTGCCAGTGTCTCCCATGTCACACAATCAATTCCAAAGTTCTTAAGAGAGACCTTAAGAGTGACCTTGTATCACTTTTTCTGATCACCATGTGAGTGATTGCCTTGTGTGAGTTCTCCATAAAATAGTCTTTTTGGCAAGCATACATTTGACATTCAAACAACAACAATGGTCAGCCCGTCAGAGTTGCTCTCTGTGCAATAGAGTTTGAATGCTTGGCAGTTTAGTTCAAGAAAGGACCTGGTATCTTATCCTGCCAGGTTATCTTCAGAATCTTCCTAAGACAATTCAAATGGGTATCAGGATGGTCAAGTGGTTTAAGGCGCCAGACTCAAGGTTGCTCCTTTCCTAACAGAAGGCAAAATAAAGATAAAAAAGAATCTATCAATCACCTCCTGTAACAAACCCCAAAAGGAAAAGCCTCAGGATTGTCAGAGATAAAACCCAGAGCCCTGATGTCAAAGATAAAAAAACTGCAAGTATCCAAAACAGAATTAAAATACCAAGCATTCACAGTCAGGATCACACAAGACCTCACAGATTCGACTATAAATTTAAGGAGATGTTGGAATACAATATCCCAAAAGGTAAAAGATATCGGTTTACAACCAAAAATAAATTTCCTGCAAAGATGAATATAATCCTGGTGAACCTGAGGGCAATATAGAGCTTTAATGGAATAGAGGGCTTTCAAGCATTTCTTAAGAAAAGACTAGAACTGAGTTTGAAATGTTTGAAATGCAGACAGGACTCCAGAGAAAATTTATTCACTGTACTGGGAAAAAAGAAACAAGTGTCCCTTGAAACCTTAATATCCTAAAGGGATATTGAGGGAGCTAAATTATAAAGCAAAGCAAAACAAAACAGGGGATCAGGGTGTGAAATGGTTTGTTCTGAAGGTTTCAATAGGGAACAGAAAAGGAAATGTCAAAGCAACACATTGGTGTAGAAAGGAGGGAGAAAGGTGTAGAAGTTGCTATTTCTTATAATTGGGGTGTGTAAAAAGAGGATACAAATACTGAGGAGGGTGGCAGTGGGTGCCAGATGAACCTCACTCTTAAGTGAAATGGATAAAGGAGGGTTGAACACACACATATACACGTAAAAAGTTTCCTGTAGAAATACATCAAACTCCATAGGGAAATAAGTGAGGATGAGAGGGAAGGGTTAAGAGGAAGGATAGTACTGGGGAGGAAATAGTCACAAGCAAAACAAACTTCCTGATCTTGAAGGGAGGATTAAAAGAGAAAAAAAAAAACCAGAATCTAAGGGGGTGCCCATCAGTTGGGCAATAGTTAAACAAATTTTGATATATCTATGAATCTATCTTCTATCTACCTACCTACCCACCTACTTATATCTTGGACAATGTAAATAAACAATAAGTTGGGAGTGGAATTAAACAGAAGGAGAGCAGCCTAGATTGTCTTTGGGAAGTTGCAAAGCTTCATTAATGACCCCAAACTTCTCCTCAAAGCAAAGGCCCATCTTTTAATTCCAATATTACACTAGTATTGTCATTTGCCTATGAGTTATGGAGCAACACAGCTGGCAAATAATTATTTTGAATAAAGCTCTTAGTGGGTATAAGCTGACTTTAAAATATAACATAGAAATATGATAAAGTTCTTTTTTTTTTCAAAGAAATGTGTTATCAAAAAAGATGAGTTAGTCATGTGATGAGAGCAAGGGATAATCAAATGTTTTCCACTGGCATCCTTGGAATGTTAGGAGAAAATGAGAAAGGGCAGGACATTGTCAGGTATGGATGGCTCATGATCTGCATTATTGGAGAAAACATCCACAGTGATGACAGCACAGATCTTTCTAAATATGTGCACACTTGTGAAACTCACTTACCTCCTTTTTCTGGTCTTAAAACTATCCAAGCTGACTGTTGTAATGAAATTGAGTTTTCTTCATTTCTGAAGTTCTGCCAGCTCCAAAAACTAGACACAAATAGAAGGTGACTTTTCTAAACCCATGTATATTCACCAGAAATTTCCTTCTCTATATCTGTGGGCTGGGGATTCAACCTGGAGTTTCTTATAGACTAATACAGCTGGGATACATAGATGCCATCATATTTCTCAAAAGGAACTGACTGATGCATTTCCTCCTAATTGAAACCCTGTCTGTATTATCAGCTTTTGACCTAGCTTTAGCTTATTATCATTATTATTGCCTAGATTTATCCCTTATTATCACATCCTTTCTGGGCAGCACACTATTAGCACCTTATTCTCTAATCACTCTTCACTAGGGTCACTTCCCTTACTCCTTTCTGTAGGTAAACCATTGTTCAGGTGACAACTTCACATTTTCTTAAAGAGAAGATCCCCTCTCAACAGAAAGGAAATTCTTTTTTTCTGGGAGTGGTAACTTGAGAGTAAGGAGGCTAACAGGATAAAAATACTTGAGGACCAGTGGTCTTAACAATAGTCAGTGTGGTCCCAGCAGGTTAGAACAATGTTGTTTCCTTTTTCAAACAGTTATCAAGGCCTTAGTCAGCTTTCTGTAGGTAAGAAGTACAGTGGCAGTTTGTGATTCTAATTCTTCTAGATTTCTAAGACAATTGCCTAACTATCTCAAAGGGGGCCAATGGAGTAGGAGTTTTCTCCCCTAACTAGAAAAAGAAAACTATCTGGACCTCATTAATTCAGCATATTCCAACTTCTGCACTTTGCTTAAACAAAGTGGCAGTGTACAAATAGCTCAAATAGTATTGAGGTTAAATGTAGGTGGTCCTAAGGGCCATCTGGGAAATTTAGAATGAAAGTAATCTCAGTTGCATGTTGAATTTATAATGGCATCTCTGGTAGAATCTCAAAGACCTTGTTTTTAGCCGTGAACAGAGTAGACTTTGTGCAGGCATAAGGGGGGGATGTTGACATCAGTGGATTTTACCCTCTACTTCAGCAGAGATGTGACTGACATGATTGGATTGCTGGTCTGGAGAGGCTGCTATATTGGGACTCAGTTTCACTAGAGAATGCTTATGCTGAGAGAGGAGAGGATCCTTTATCTTCTAGTTTGTCATGTGTCCATTCATTCTTATCTAAGGTTCAAAGAATTACCTCAGTCCTTTAGATAGTAGTGGAAGACAAGTAGACAAAGCTGCTACTGATTAGAAAATTTACTGGTGCATTCATTTCATAGCCATTCCAGACTCTTTCATTTCCTTCAAATACTCAGTTTTATTTTTCTTTCTCTGCCTTCTTTCTCCTTCCTTTGTCCTCCAACTCACTCATTTATTTTCTTTCTTACTCCCTTCCTTTTCCTTAAGTATTACCATAAATATTGGAATCTTTGAGTCTCAGAATTGGAAGGGCTCTCAGAGGTCATCTGGTCCAACTTGGCTATGCTGTAATTCCTTCTACAACATCTCAACTGTGATCATTGGGAAGATATTGCTTATATTGAGCAAAATAATGAGCTTATATTGCAACTTCTAACCTTTTCTCCATCAGAGGATCAAAGTTCACTCCTTCAAAGCCAAGAAAGACAAATTTAATCTTCTTCCACATGACACCACTTCAAATACCTGAGATAGCTATCATCTGCACCCCCTACTCTTTGTTTTCCCAGGGTAACCATCCCTAGTTTCTTCAAATTATCCTCATATGCCATGGCGTCTCTTCATTAGTTAGTCTTCTTGGGGAAAATTTTGTCACTGTCCTTCCCAAAGTGGGATCCCTACAACTAAACACAGTACTTCAAATGTGAATTGATCAGGATATTAGAGTGCAATTACTACATCGCTCTTTCTGGACACTTTTCCTGGGGTCGGACCTGTGATTTCATCAAGGTAATATTGAAAATATGACAAGGACCCTTGATAAGGATGAAGGACATTTTATTCACGTTAGGACATTTTCTTTATCTGAGGTTGATTTGGAATGGATAGAAGAGAGGTTTTGGGGGGTTTTTTCTGAGTTTCATTTCTTCTAAACTCTCTGGGGCCATAAACTCATTTAGGTGCAGTCTCTTTTCTCTGCTTCAGAGGAATGTGTGGCAGTGACTTATATTGGCAAACAACTGTAAATGTGTATGTGGTGCCTTCTGATGCTTAGACTCCAAACCTTTTTTGGGCCTTTCTGATTTTATACAACTTTGCTGACTAAAATGCATTGAAATAAATATCAGAATAACTCATTAACATTTTATTTTTTTGGTGAAGTTAGCAAAGATAGTGGATAATGAATATATCCCTCCTGGTCATAATATCATCTTTCTAAGAACTTAGTGTGGAAGGCACTCTTTATATTATTTTTGTCACTGGCTTTCCCTAAAATTAGAGAAATCTAAAGGCTTAATGTGCATCAAGAAGAGAGAGAATAATTATGGGAAATACATTGAAAGCACTTAGACAGTAGGAGCTATGTTTTCTTGAATTTTTGTGGTTTTCATGTTTACTTTGTGAACTGGACCTGCAGATTTCACTGGTATTGGGAACTTTCAATGAGGAAACTACCAATCAGCATCTATTCTGAAATTTATGTCTTAAAGAGTTGCCTGGAACACTGAGAGGTTAAGTAACTTATGCAGAATTGCACGGCCAGTGAATATCAGAGATAGCACTTGAAGTTATATTTCTTATTTTACTTAATATATTCTGTGATATTTGATAGATGCTTAACAAGTATTTAATGACTTAACTTAGTTCACCTTTCCCTAAGGTTACTGTGTATTCTAAGTTGATTCTTTTCTCATATTCTGTGACTTCTTTCACAGGCCTGTGTGTGATGAGTGCAGCGTCAATCTACACAGTGAGACACACAGAGTGGCAGCACAACACGGATTATGGCTTTGGCTTTGCTTACATCCTGGCCTGGGTAGCTCTTCCTTTGGCTCTCACCAGTGGAGTGATCTACGTCATCTTGCGGAAACGCGAATGAAACTCCCCCAAGCTGCTTGTAGGAAGCTCTGGATATCCCTGTGGAAGGGAAAAGGAAAACAATGAAACACAAAAGAAATAATCATAAAATCCAAACCAAACCACAAAAATGGAGGGAGGTTTCTGTGTTGATATGTATATAATATCTATGGTTTTTTTTAAAACCTATTTATAACACTTTCTACATGTATGTACATAGCATTGTTTGCTTTTGTCTTGACAGTATGCCTTGAGTTAAACCCTAAAGAAGTGCCTAAGAAAGTTCAAATACTAACAGTGTAATCAAAGTTCAATATTTTGTTTTAGTTTTTCCTTGAAATTAAATGATCACCTGATATTTTTCCTTCCACCTTCCATTTCATCACTTACTGCCCTTACCTGAAACTGAAAACAGCCCACACATCTGTACCACTTTCCCTCATTTAGAAAACAATATATGCCCATCTAATCCCAAATGGACATAAACCACAAGCCCCTTTATGCTGTATGAATTAAACATAAACTGCTTAAATTTCCAATGTGTGCATTTTCAGGGACATATTCTCTCCTTGAAAACTAGAACCCATGCGGAAAGACAGCTAGCAACTTTGAAGTATTTCTCCCTTTCATGTAGGTAAATCAGTGACACAGTGATCAGCTAAGCCATATCTATAAAATGGTGCTATGTATTTACTATTCCTTATATTGCTAGTCATTTAACCTACTCACTGGAAAACTCAGTTAACAATTTTACAAGATAAGGTAAAATGGAGAATTGAATAATTCTGTGTAATATAAATAGCCTACAGCTGCTTTTGTACTCAGGCTGCTATTATTTCTTTCATCTTTTTTTTTTTAATAAAACCTTCCTAATACTCCCTCCTTTTTTTTTTTTTTCTTATGACAAGCCTCTAGACTCTCCGGGGCCATGAACACTCAGGGCTCATTTGGGTGCAGCCTCTTTTCTCTGCTTCAAAGGAATGTCTGGCAATGACTTGTATTGGCAAACAACTGTAGATGTGTATGCAGTGCCTTCTGATGCTCAGACTCCAAACCTTTTTTGCCTTTCTGATTTTATACAACTTTGTTGACTAAAATGCATTGAAATAAACATCAGAATAACTCATTGATATTTCTTTTTTTTTTTTTGGTGGGGTTAGCAAAGATAGTAGATAACAACACATTGCGGGTAGGGAAGGTGGGCAGGAGTGGGGTGTTAAGAGTGTTCTGAAAGGTAGGTCTGTTTCCATCATTTGGTTAGAGCATGTTGCAGAGGGCCAAAGTCAAACTGTGGTTCTACACCTTTCTACCCTTCAGGGAAACCGCTGAAGACATTTTGTCTTTGAAAATTCAAGTGAATTTGGAATTCACTTGTCTTTGGAAAGGGCTGAGATCTAGAGCTAAAAATTCATTATGCAAGGGTAAACGAGTAGAATTCATTCTCACAAATTATAGGACCTGTACATCCTAAATTATGTCAACAATGAGTTCATCCATAGGTAATTTCAGTATGTAGATTTCACTATTATTTAGAAGGGATTGTAAGATTTCATGAAAATATGAATTATAATCATCTGAATCCAAATTTCTGTCGGTTGCAACATATTAATTAGGGTGACCCAAATTTAATTCCAAGAAGCTTCCAGGGATGAAAGAAAGGAGTTACCGTCTCTTTCTAGCTTTGGTTCTTCTTGGACCCTTTTGACCTAGGGATCAGAAAAAATGAGAAGAAACTCCTTCCCAAGCCAGAGTAGTACCCCAAACTTTTCATTCCTTTTGTTTATGCCAAATCTTCATGCGAGAGTCCTACTGCATATGCTCTATACTACCTCTGCTACAGTCTCTGTTCCTAGCAGGGGTTATAAATAACACAATTTTTAAGATCATACAAAAGCAATCCAGGAAGAGTTGAATGAGTAAAAACTGATTTATCATTGAAGACAAAACAAGACATTTACTTGCAGCCAGAGTAATGAAAGGGTGCTTTGAGTCTTCCATATTTAGGAAGTTACAAGTTCTACTTTTTGATAAGTAATCCCTCTCTACCCTTCACTTAACTCCTTTTCTACTTTTGTCCATGGTCTTCTGTGAAGACTTTGGACCATGTGTCCAAAGGTGTGTTAGGAGTGCCTCCAGCAAGTTCAGTGATAAGAGTATATCTTCTGATTGAATCATCATTATCCTTGGCCCTCCTATTCTCCTATCTGTTCCTGGATCCCACACACACCTTAAAAATAGAGTAATGTTAGGAAACTGGAGAAGGATTAATGCAAGAGATCTCAGAGGATGGCTTAGTGACTGACTAACTGTAAGGAGGAGAATTCAAAGATATTCTTTGCATAGAGCTAAAACCCATTCAAAAAGTACATACATCAAAGAGAGGTTTTCAAAGCAGTCCCTTTCTAGGTTTGCTGGTTCCATCCTTTTCCTTTCTAATGGCAATCCTATTATAATAACCTTTCTCAGAATCAAGCATCCCACGGTGTAATTTGTAGGCATGTTAAAATTAAGGTGTTTGTTTAGTTGTTGGCAGAAAGTAGCCAACCTAAAATACAAAACTTTAAAATACAATATGAATTTTTCAACATGATTCTTTTCTCACTCACCATCCTACCCATTCAATTGCCATATCTTAGTAATTGAATTTTCATTATTTTTATCATATATTTTATATGATATAATATATATTATATTTACTTGTAAATATATATATAACATGTATTATAAGAAGCAAGTAGAATACAATTCTTAACCAACTAGTCTTCCCATTATGCCCTACAAGAACTTTTTACTCTATTCAGGTTTTCCTCTTCCATAAAACAGATTGGCCTAAACACACACCTTTTTCTTGTTGCTGTGTCTTTTCTTGCTTTGCTCCTTCTACCTGAAATGGCTTTTTGCCTCCCTCTTCTCCACTCCAGGGCCCACCTCAAATTGTATGTCTTCCAGGAAAACCTGAGCACTTCAACACTCATTTTCTCCCTTTTTGTACTTTTAGTTAATTATATTCACATTTAAGTATTTTTATTATTTAAATCATTAATAGATTTCTCTTTGTCCCAACTAAATGGCAAATTTCTAGATCTTGTATTTCATATTTCCTGCTCTACACCTGACATGGTACTGAGGACATTATAGCTCATCAACAGAGTTCTATGGTAGCTGAGAATTTCACTCACATGGTGGCATATTAAGTCTTGTATTTGGAGGTTGGACTAGATGACTTCTAAGGCCCCTCCCAAATAAAAGACTTCACACAGTAAAAACCCTTGAGTCTTCATGATAGACAGGAAGCAGTCAGAGAATATATGAGTGTTATTAGTTATCTAGTATATATGCAGATCCAATCAACTGGCTCAGCTGATATAACATCTCCACATAGAGATTATGGGAAATTTGCTTCTGGAAGAATCATGGGGACACATAAATCAATGCATTAGAGAGATTGTACAGAATATATAGATGGTCTATAACTAGTTCTGATTGGCTAACAATGTGATGAAGGGGAGAATTCTGATTGACTTCAGAGACATACAGAAAGTCCTGTCAGTTTCTGCTACTTCCTTTTTGCCTCTTTTGAGTTCATTCCATGATTCTGTTGCTCACAGAGTCTGGTGAGATGGTATCCTATTACTGGGGTAAGGGATGGGGGAGTCATTGAAATCTTTTCTACTCTGAGGCTATATGGCCCTTGAAAGATACGCCTGATTCTTTGGCCTTTTGTTTGTTCTTTTTCTATTCTGGGTAGAGGAAGTGGAACTTCACAACCTAGTGATTCTGAAAGGTTATTATGAGGATTCACCAGCATCCCAGTCTTACACAGCTTGGGCTCCACTCTAGGTGTTGCAGTAAGCCCAGCTGGGCTAATAGCCTAAGGAGCAATCTTCAGGCACGACTTTTAGGACTCTAACCCAACAGGATTCATCCAGTGATCATGTTGCATCTGGACATGAATTTGGTGGGCTATGGAAGGGAAGAGAAGGGAATACACATTTATGTAGCCAGGTACTTTGCTAAGCACTTTTTTACAAATATTATCTCATTTGATCCTCACAACAACTTTGTTAGCTAGGTGCTATTATTATCCCCATTTTATAGTTGGGAAAACAGGCAAACAGAGGTTGAATGATTTGCCCATGGTCACACCGCTAGTAAGTATAGAGACCGAACTAAGTTTTGAGCCAACTCCCCCAGAGACCAAGATGTTATGGAGGAGAGTATGTCCTGGGTATTGAAGGGAAGTGTATGTTGGTTTTGCTGTGACTTTGAAGTAAATATACCTTTGTAAAAGTTACTTGGAAAAAAAAAGTTACTTGATGTTTGGTAGTTAAATGGAACTAGGTTCTAGTCACTGTACCCCCAACAGTAGGGCAGCACAGTCAATGAGGGCTTCAGCCAATGGCAGAAAAGAAGAGTGACACCACCAAGGTACTTGAAAACCCTGAGGGAGGAGATGTGGCAGATCTGACCCTGAGAAAGTGGGACTAGAATATATATAATACAGGTGCATGTTCTGAGTGGTGGTGAAGGAGAAAGATCCCACTATCATGTTAGCCCTCAAAAAGCAGGCTAACCCTACTGTCCTATTCACTTGACTAAGTGAGTCATTCACAATGCTGACTGAGTATGCCCCAAGGTATTGCTTTGCCAGGTATTGCTTTGCCAGTATCTAGCTTATGTCTGCTCTTTTGGATAGGCATTGACTCAGGCATTTACTAGGAAGAAAAAAAACAACTAACCAAAAGACAGTAGGATCAGGAAAACTCAACACATGAATCTTATAATTGGCCCTTCTCTCTTAAATGCTAACACTCCTGTCACTTTAAATAGGATTTTAGGACTAATACTGGAGAGGCTTTTATTCTTCCCTGTAACTCTGATTTTACCTCCAGTGGCTGTCAGCTACCAGTTAGTAAGACCTTAATTCAGGTAATTCAAGTACATAATGGAGAATCATGAAACCAGAGAATATCAGAGTTGGAAGGATCCTTAGAGATCTAGTTCAAGTATTTCATTTTACAGATGAGGAAACTGAGACCCACAGAGAAGTAACTCCCATTTTCTTTCCTACAGATCATCAGTGACAGATCTAGAGCTCTATCCCAGATATTTTTATTCCTCATAAGATGCTCCACCATCAGGGGTGTTCCACTTAATAGTTAATATGTTAATATGAATATATGTTAAAAGGTGTTTTTTATAAAGATAAAAGTATAATTTTAAAAATAGTAACAGAGATTACCTTCTTATATGTAAATCTTAAAATATAGGAATCCTTAAAAGTGACCCCAAAAATCTAAGTACCTTGTATATAATATATACAATATAAAATTTCCTTTAAATATTAGCTCTTAAAACAGAAGCTCCACAGTAAATAATAGAAACTGGTCTTGCCTCTGACCCTTAATTGCATGACTATAGCCATGCTACCTATTGGAACTTCAGTTTTTTCACCTATAAAATCAGAATAGTAAAACCTGTAATACCTGCTTCATCAATAATAATAATAAGCTATCAATAGCTTAAATTTCTTCCTCTGAAAACTAGCTATTAATAATCTTTGACCATTTATCATTTGAGAAGTGGCTTTTATTTTTATAAAATTTAATAGTATATTAAATCTTAAAGGTCTTAGAAATGAGACCTTTATCAGAAATAATAATTGCAAAGGTTTTTCCCCCCTTATTTCCTGCTTCTTATTTAATTTTACCTGAATTGGTTTGTTTATGCAAAAACTTTTAAATTTTATGTATTAAAAATTGTTTATTTTACCTTCTGTGAATCTCCATATTTCTTGTTTGGTCATGAACTCTGCACTAATAATTCCAAATTGCTTTCTTCAAGGCTGCCTCGTTCCATAGAAGGCATATATTCTCTTGCTATTTTTTAAGGGAACATTCTTATTCCCTCTGCACAAATCAGAAACAAAATGAAATGGTTTTAATTAATGAAATACATTTCTTCCAGTAGCAGAATCTTAAACTAGTATAGACGCCTCCTAAAGATACCCCTTTTGTACCCCTTACTCAAATCACTTCACCCTTCTGAGCCTCAGTTTCTTCATCTGTAGAATAAGGATACTTCAATTGGAGAATCTTTAATCCTTCATATTCCAGTATTTTGTAATTTT